TACTGTCATCGTTCTGAGCAGAATTGATGGGAAGCAAAACAAACACCCCCAACCAGCTGGGGGTACTTTAATGGCTTTTGATGGTATCATCTGGGCATTTCTCACCCATGTTAATTAGCAGCTTGCTTTGACCAAGGTAGCACATCTAGAAACTGCTCTGGGGGTGGAAAAAATTTTTTCTGCTTGCATATTTAGCAGGATCCAGCAAGGAACAAGACAGGGGATTGCCGGCTGAGCACCGTGATGGCTCATCCCTTTTCTGGCACCAGATGACTGGGGTGCTGGGCTTAGCCAGGAGGGCCGGTGCTGATGGGCATGTGTTTATTCCTAGTAATCACAGCTGCATTTATTGAGTGCCTTGTGTGTGCTAGGAATTGTGCTGAACACAATTGTATATGCGCCACCTCGCCTCCTACAATTCATGCTCTGCCTGCGAGGTAGGGCTGTTAATCTAAGTGACGGCGTCCAGTGTGAACCAGGCGGCGTGCATGAGCCAGGCCTCAGAATTTCACTTCTGGGCCAGGGCTTCCTGCCCTCCCAGGCCAGGCAGGGGTGGCCCTCCATTCCAGCAACTTCTCCAGCCCAGTCTTGCAGTGCCTTGGGTACCACGTCTTCAGTCCACAGGAGGACTGGAAGCAGTCCTAGGTACTGACTGCACAGGCTCCAGGCTCACTGACCCCGCCCCTTTCTGCTTGCCTCAATGGCCCTGCCCCCTTTTGCCTTGGGCATTGGGGCTGCTCCCTTCCCATCTGTACCCTGGGTGAAGACTCAGGTGTCCGGAGACACTACTAATAATCCAGGTGTGAAGCAATAATGAAGGTGCTGGATGGGAAGAGTTTTGTTTTTTTTTTTAAAGCGTTTTTAAAAAATATTTATTCATTTATTTGGCTGTGCCGGGTCTTAGTTGTCGCAGGCAGGATCTTCAGTTGAGGCATGAGGGATCTTTTAGTTGCAGCATGTAGGATCTAGTTCCCTGATCAAGGATTGAACCCGGGACCACTGCAGTGGGAGCACGGAGTCTTAGCCACTGGACCACCAGGGAAGTCCCTGGGAAGAGTTTTAAGGTGTGACTTTTCTAGGCCGTGCACATTCATTAAAAAGCACAGATAGTATAGTTTATTTTCTGATTCTAAAAGCAATCATGCCCTTCGTAGAGAAGTCGAAGATACAAAAGGTACAAAGAAGAAAAAACTTTATCTTACCATCTAGAGATAATCATTGTCAACATTTTCAGATGGTTCTTGCTACTTGTTTTTGTATATTGATGAAAAAATATATATAAATTTTCAAATATATATAATGTTAAGCAAAGTTGAGACCATTCTAGCAATATACTTTTAGATTATCTCTTTTCACACATTGTGTCATGTGCGTACACTTGTGAAAAGGACCCCGTGAAAGCAAGATGGATAAGATGGGCAGAATCAAGGAGAGGGGTGGAGGGTGTGGGCTTTCTCAGCTGCAGGCTTCCCTACCCGACCCAGGACAAGGTTGTTCCTGGGCCTCTGGGGTGGGGAGTGATGCCATCAGCTTGGGGAGGACAAGAAAGGATCCCTCTGCCACCCTCTTTAGTGTCACTCACCAGTTCTTGGGAGGGTGGGAGCCTCCCAGCAGCGGCCGCCTGGGCCAGCGGGGCCCCCTAGTCATGTCCCACTCCCACCCCATTGTGATCCAGGACCCCACAGCTGCCCCCTCCCCTGTGATTTTGTGCGTGAGTGTGTGTGTCGAGGGGGGCTGTCTCTCAGAGGGACGAAAGGGGTGGCTTCTGGCTTCTTGAGGCCTTCCAGTGGCGGGGGCGGGGCACTCGTGGCTGAGGTGCCCCTGCCTCTTGAGAAACAAGCTGTCTTTTGCTTGTGACTGTGGTAGTGCTAAGCCCCATTAGCCGTTTTCCTAGAAGTGAGAATGGATTTGCTCTGAGTTCTGTCATCCTTTGTGACCCAGGGCTCACTGAAGCAGCACCAAGAGCAGGGGACTGGCCACCAAACGGAGCCCTGCTAACCTGCCTTCAAGGGTACTTGGACTTGATGCTGGCCTTGTGAGCATGCCCCCTGTCTCCATCCTCCAACCACCTGACAGAGACAAAGTTCTTGAAGCATAGGAAGGTTTGGTGCTCCCCTGGAAGGTCGTTCATTCATCGGTGCCAGTGGAGGAGGCCCTGCTGGGTCTTAGTGATTAGAATGAGAGGGACCTGGGTTAGAGCTCCAGCTCTGGGCAAGTTACTTGCCAGAGCCCCAGCTCTGGGCAAGCCTGGGTTAGAGCCCCAGCTCTGGGCAAGTTACTTGCCAGAGCCCCAGCTCTGGGCAAGCCAGCTGGGGCTGGGCTCAGCCCCAGCTCTGAGCCACCTTGGGCAAGTTACTTAACCCCTCTGAGTTCAGTCTCCTTGTCTGGAAAACGGGCCTAACAGTACTTACTTCACAGAGATAGATGCTCTGCAGATTATATGCTTTCAATTATGTATATTCGGCATCTATCACAGTGCCTGAAACACAGCAGGTACTCAATAAATGCTCATTGTTATTGTGTGTTAAATTTACTCCTCATAACTTTTGGCAACGAATATTATCACCCCATTTTACAGAGGGGGCAGCTGAGGCTCAGAAGGTTACACAGTATTTCAGCTAATTGTTACGGTGTGACAACCATCCAAAACCTTAGTGGCTTAAAACAACGCTGAATGGACATGAATGAACAATAATTTCTTATGATTCTGTGGATTAACTGGGTGGTTCTTGGGCTCCAGGTGGTGTCAGCTGGGGTCTGTCATGTGAATACAGTTAGTTGGCAGCTAGATTCGGCTGAAAGGTTGAAGAGGGCCTCTCACGTGCCTGGGGTCTTGGTGCTGGCTGTTGGCTGAGCTGCCTCGGTTCTCTTCCTCATGTCGTTTTCACCAGGCTAGCTTGGGCTTCCCCAAGCATGGCAGTTGACTTCCAAGAGGGAGTGCTGCAAGAGGACAAGCCTCAGCATGCAAGCACTTAGCAAGCCTCCGCTTTACATCATGCTTATTAATGTCCTTATTGGCCAAAGAAAGTCACGTGCCCAAACCGAGAGTCAGTGTGGGAGGGGACAACATGACGGCACACATACTGGGAAGCATGGCTTATTGGCGATGCCCAAGTAACAGTTCACCAAAAAAAGGCTTGTCTAGGCTCCCACGGCTGTTGAATGGCATAGCTGGGATTTGAACCCAGGTCTGTCTGACTCCAAAATCCGTGCTTCTTCCTCAAAGCATGGCCGAGGCTGACTCTATGGCAGGCTGGTGTTTGTGGCCGCCCCCACCAGAATTGGATGGTGATGTGATTTTCCGTCTCGTCTTCAGCCCACCCTGCCCTAGCACTCCATGATGTCCTTGAACCTCTCCTGCTCACCTGACAAAGGGGAGAAAAGCACCCTCCTTCTGCTGGGCCCCTTCTGTTCTTCCCCCTTCCATGTTGACTACAGAAAGCTACTCCTGCTTCCTTCAGGGTCCCAGCCAGGACCGAGGTGGCCCCATCACTTGTGGCCTCTCCAACCACAGCAGCATCCTGGCTCTGCTGGCCTCAGGGTACACACACCTCTCTGGACCTCAGTTCTGTTTGGGGGGTACCCTTTCTTGGAAAGCAAGGGTCACGGGAACAAAGACAATATCACGGAGATAAGCCCAAGTTTATAGCACATTGTCGTCATCCCAGAGGACTTCCAGTCTGCCCACCGGCTGGGCCAACTCCTCAGATAGGCCTCCTACCCTCACCCCTGTCTACACTCAGCTGATCTGAGTTGGCTCCACGGTGATGACTGCAGGAATCCAGCCCTTTCCGGCTCCTGCCTGCCTCTGACTGAGTGAGGCCCTGGTCCATTCCACCCACTGATCTGACCTGAAGGCCCAGCACCTAGGTGAGCAGTGCCCTTCTCGTGGTCCTTTCCGCTCCCAGTCTGTGGCTGCAGGGAGCATTGCTCACTTTCCTGTGGCTGGACTCTCACTCTCCCCGCTTCTTAAGGCCCCAAAAGGACAAGCCATTTGTTCAGTGCCCTATCATGAGCTGATGGCAAAGCTGGGACCTTGAACCTGGGATGTCATCTCCAGCCGTTATCTCTCTCTCTCTCTTTTTTTAAAAATTTTTATTTTATTTTTTGCGGTACGCGGGCCTCTCACGGCTGTGGCCTCTCCCATTGTGGAGCACAGGCTCCGGATGCGCAGGCTCAGCAGCCATGGCTCACGGGCCCAGCCGCTCCGCGGCATGTGGGATCTTCCCGGACCGGGGCACGAACCCGCGTCCCCTGCTTCGGCAGGCGGACTCTCAACCACTGCGCCACCAGGGAAGCCCCTTAACTTTTTATTTTATATTGAAGTATAGTTGATTAACAATGTTGTGATAGCTTCAGGTGTACAGCAAAGGGATTCAGTTATACATATACACGTATCTATTCTTTTTTTTTTTGGCTGCACTGGGTCTTTGTTGCAGCACGCGGGCTTCTCTCTAGTTGTGGCACGCAGGCTTCTCTAGTTGTGGAGCACAGGCTCCAGAGAGCGCGGGCTCAGTAGTTGTGGCGTGCGGGCTTAGTTGCCCTGGGGCATGTGGGATCTTAGTTACCCCACCAGGGATCGAACCCGCATCCCCTGCATTGGAAGGTGGATTCTTAACCATCGGACCACCGGGGAAGTCCCCCATGTATCTATTCTTTTTCACATTCTTTTTCCATTTAGGCTGTTACATAATATTGAGCAGAGTTTCCCATGCCATACAGTAGGTCCTGTTGGTTATCCATTTTAAATTCAGCAGTGTGTACATGTCAGTCCCAAGCTCCCTGACTATCCCCTCCCCGCATCCTTCCCCCCCCCCCACTGCAACCATAGTTGGTTCTCTAAGTCTGTGAGTCTGTTTCTGTTTTGTAAATAAGTTCATTTGTATCATTTCTTTTTTAGATTCCCCATATAAGCGATATCATACGATATTTCTTAGTCTGACTTACTTCACTCAATATGACAATCTCTAGATCCATCCATGTTGCTGCAGATGGCATTATTTCATTCTTTTTAATGTCCAGCCATTATCTGGCCCATCCAGTGACAATCCCGCTGCTAAGTCCAGGACACCCTGGCTCACACTGCCACCTCCGGACATGGATATGGTCCCTGCCATCCCAGGAATGGAATGTCATTGACATGGTGACGGCCACCCTCCACCAGAATGGACTCCTGTGCTCTGTGCATCTCTGCTTCACTAGCTCCTGACTCCAAGTCTTTGATGGGGCATCTGATTGGCTGAGCGTAAGTCAGGAGCCCACACTAACTGCAGTGGCAGCTGGGAAAATGACTGTATGGCGTTTTTCGCTTCTCTGGTGGGAGGCAACTAGGAAGATGGGCAATTTCTCAAACACGGTAGTGGGGGTTGGATGCCGGTCAGCCTTGTACTTACCTCACCTGGAAAAATGCCGAACAGCTGTCCCCAGGGAGTGCTAGAGGATTGTATGTCTCCAGGGACAGCCTGAGCTTGTCTTCCCTTCCTCCAGATGCTGATGGAAGTGTGTGTGTGTAAGGACAGGAACACATTACACAACGTGGGGTCAGGAACCCTGGGTACGGTTCTGAGTCCCCGGGCCTCAGTTCCACTCAGCCTGCTGTCCAACCTTTGAGCATGCAGAAGATGTGTGGTGGCTTCTGCTGTAGTCTGGGCCACTGGGCCAAAAGATGCCCCCAAGAGTGCCAAAGCCCCAAACGGAATGGGGCCATTGGTTCCGTGTAACAGATGAGAGCGTAGGTTTTGGAGTCAGAGAGATCGGGGTTCGCCAGCCATGTGACCTTGTACATGTTCCTTAAAGTCTCTGAACCTTAGTTTCCTTATCTGTAAAATGGAGAGGAGGTGGCAGGCACTCAGCCTCCATTCCAACCTGTTTCTATGGCGCCTTCATGTTCTGCAGAGGTTGGAAGGCTAAAAACTACAGTTCCCAGACACCTTTGCAGCTGGGGCTGCGGATGAGAATTAGATTCCAGCAAGGAGATGCACTTGTGTGTGAGGTTAGGAAGGCAGCAGCGGGGAAGAGACTACTTGGTGCTGAATGTTGCTGCTGAAGACAATGTGTGTGTGTGTGTGTGTGTGTGTGTGTGTCAGTGTGAGAGAGACAGAGAGAGAGAGGCAACATTCTAGTGTTTGATTAGTTACCGGCTTTGTGGGTACTGAGAGGTGTTGTGGTGGCAGTGGCTTCCTGACCTTGGATGGCAACTACAATAGTGTCCTCTTGAAATCAACATCTCTGGGGCTGACCCCCTCCCTTCCCACCTCCCTGATGATGGCAGAAGTCTTGGCAGCCCAGCTCAGCGGTGTTACGGGCGTCTAGAGCCTGCTCCAATGATCATGTAAGCACCTAATTTCCTGTATTATATCTCTTCTGGATTAAAATAGCTGGACTGGAGAGGCTTTCTGTTTCCTGCAACTGAACCCTAACTGCTATAGGAGTCACACCCCATTGCTCACACAGTTGTTGGGATGAGATGAGATGGTGGGTGCTACACAGCTTTGTAAACTGTAAAGTTTACAAAAACTTTGTTAGGTGTTTTTCGAGGAAGGGTGTCCCTTTTGTCAGGGGAGACTAGACAGGATAGAAACCCTTGTGACGAGCCACTTGTTTACACGCTCTTTTATCGCAAACTGCTGGAGCAGAAGACAGCCTGAAAGAATTCAGGTAATTTGTGTACATCACCTGCTTTCGGAGGCCGAAAGGGTTGTGCTATGGATTCAGGGCGGATACAGCCTCTCTGTCCCCAATTAGAGCAATGAGTGACATGCCATGACGGCTGGGAAAGGTGGCAGGTGTCCTGGTGTGAGCCTGAAAAGTCAGCTACCACGGGGCTCTCCCGTACCCATGCCTGGGCTCCCCCATTAACCCGCTAGTTTGTGTTAAAGCCCACTTTAATTCCGTACCCCTCCCAGTTAAATCTTCGTGTTTACAAAACCTTTCCCTCCTCTCCCATCAGGTTTGAAGGATCTCCCTGTCTGTGGTGAATAACATTCTCATGGTCATGTCATTGGCCCCTATTTCCTGCCACAAAATGAGGAGTCCCTGTGGGGTGAGTGTCCAGGCAGGTGGTCCTGGGGGCCGTGAAGCTGGGAGGAAGCTGGGCTGGGGCTTGGCTGCCAGAACAGTCCAGGCTCCACTCCAGCCCATCAGGGGGCTTGAGGCTGAGTGGGCAAGATAAACCGTTTCAGTGGTTTTTAGGAACCCTGATCAATTGCAAGGAAGGGCAAAGCCCTCGGGGACGGATAAAGCCAGCCCTGCACTCCAAGCCCAGTTGGAGCCAACATTTGTGTGGCTTGAACTTTTGTGTGGTTGGGACAAGTCCGCCCAGCTTTGCCGGGGTGGTTTACTCTGTTCCCAAACTGCAGTACAGCGAGGCGAACAGCCCTGGGCCCCGTAAGCCGGCGCTGAAATGATTTAGGTGGCCTGTCCTCTGTCCCCGCCGGGCCCTACAGCCTTGGGGAAGAGAGGCTGAGCGTGCCATACCCCTGCTTCTCGCCGGTGGCACGGGGTTTTAGAAACGCTCCATTGCCCAAGGCAGGCAAGACCTTCGCCTCGGGGAGCTGAGCTGCTGCTGGTTTGATTCTCCACTCCTGCTCCCAAACTAAAAAGCCGATGCCCACTTTCAGATTCCATCCTCACCGCGCAGAGGAAGCCCGGGGTGCTGGGGACACCACCTGGAGCCTGGGCGCATAGCACCTGGGCAGTTTTTTTTTTTTTTTTTCCTTCCAGCTTGAGGTATCTCGTTTAACCTCTAAGGTGCCTGAAGGTCTGGAAGGCTCGCGGGCAGGCCTTTGGCTGGCTACAGGAGAGGCTGGGCGCCCCAGATCCCAGCGCCGCCGGTGGGCACTCTATGTGCCAATGTCTGTAGTGCTTGTGTGCAGCAGAGCAAGGCTGCCCCACGAGGTAGTTGGCCGCTGGGCCGACAGAGACCCGTCTGACAATGCCCTGTCCCCTGGGAAGCCAGTGCCAGCCTGCACGGGCCACAGCTAAATAGAATCAGGAACAGGTGCTGCCTGGGAGGGAAACTCGGGCGCCTGGTATAGCTCAGTGATGCTCACACCCTCTGGGGACCTTCCTGCCTCCACAGAAGGTGGGGACAGAGAGGCGAGCACGAAGAGAGAGAAAGGGAAGTGGGAAGAAACTGGTCACGGAGGAGGCTCTTTTTATTCTTTGGTGCAGCTGCGTGCATTTCTCTGACCAGCGAGGCAGAGAAAATCAGACTGGCTCCTGCCGAAACAGGCCTTCTAGTTGGGGTTGGGGGCAGGGAGGCGGAGGTGCACAGGAAAGGGGTGAAGAGGGGGAAATGCCTGAGGATACAGCAAACCACAGTCTCCAGAAGCCTTCACTGCACAGAACAACCCTCCCCTGCCGTCCTGTGCCCCAGATGCCTCAGCCTTAACCTTGGCTGCCCGAAGTGGGCCATCCTTCCCCTTCTGGGTGACACCTTGGGCATGACCCAGTCAAGACTAGGCATTCGTTTATCACTGTCTTCTGCTGTTGGGCCTTGGAGGAGAGCCTTATCCCTTCCAGCAGGGGACAAGACCTCCTGGGTGGCGTCAGTTACCCTGGTCACCCTAGCACCTGGAGAAACTGGCAAATGTCCCAAACGGGAAAGCAACGTGAGGGGTCAAGGCCCTAGAGTTAGACTCTTGTGAGGCCCTGATTGTCTGAGTCAGCAGTTCCCAAAGTGTGTTCCAAGGATCCCTGTGGTACCCCAGACCTTTTCAAGACTGTCTTTTCTAACTGCAAGCTCCATAAGGCTGGATTTTCTTCATGTATTTCAACCAAAACCACATATCACAACAGATTGGATGCTGAAGCAGCTAGGAGAAAGCAGCTGTCTTCTATGAAGCCAGCTATTAAAGAGGTTTGCAAAAATGTAAAGCGATGTCACTTTACTCCCTGATTTTTTTTTTTTTTTTAGAAAATACAGTCTTGTTTTTTCATTAAATTGTGCTATTGATGTGAACATGTGTATTAGTTATCTATTGCTGTGTAACAAATAGCCCCAAAACTTAGTGGCTGAAAACAACACACATTATCTCTCAGTTTCTGAGGGTTAGGAATCTGTTAACAGCCAGCTTAGCTGGGTGGTTCTGACTCGGAGTCTCTCATGAGGCTGTAATCAAGGCATGGTCCAGGGCTGCAGTCATGTCAAAGCTCAACCAAGGAAAGAAAGGATCCAGCTCTCAGCTCACTCACATGGCTGTTGGCAGGCCTCAGCTCCTTGCCATGTGGGCCTCTCATCAGGGCTGCCTTGTGACATGGTAGCTGGCTTCCCCCAGAGAGAGTGAAGGAGAGCACCCAAGACAGAAGCCACAGTCTTTTTATAATCTAATTTTGGAAATGACATGGCAGCTGGCTTCCCCCAGAGAGAGTGAAGGAGAGCACCCAAGACAGAAGCCACAGTCTTTATATAATCTAATTTTGGAAATGACATCCCATCACTTCTGTCTTGTCTATTAGAAGTGACTCAGTAAGTCCACCCCAACTTCAAGGGGAGGGAAATACTCAAGGATGCGGGTGACAGAAGGTGGGGATTACTGGATACCATCTCAAAGGCTGCCTACCACTCATCTAATAAGTTCATTATTGTTATTTTTATATCAATTAACAAATGTTTAAAACTTTCCTCGGTTTTCATTTTTAATATGGGAAATACGGATACATGGGTCAATATAAACAAAAGCTTTTTGGAGTGCTCAATAATGAATAAAAAAGTAAAGGGGTCCCAAGATCTAAACATTTGTTAACTGCTGGTCTAGGTGTTATGGTATCTATAGAAGTATGTTAGTAACATGTGGAGGCCAGTCTACCCACCCATCGATCTGTCCATTCATCCATCTGACCATCCATCCATCCATCCATCCATCCATCCATCCATCCATCCTTCTATCTACCCATTTACCCATCCATCCACCTTCATCCTCCCATCCAGCCTTCCATCCATCCATCTATCCTTCCATGCATCTATTCTTCTATCCATCCATTCATCCACCCTTACATCCATCTACTCACTCACCTATCTACCCGTACAATCAAAATGCTCCAACTACTGTGCTAGGGCTGGTACTTTAACAGGGTGGCTAGTGACTGCCGTATGGAGCGTGTCACATTTTAACAGATGAAACAACAATAAGATGAATTTAAAAATAATAACATCAGGTTGTGATCATTTGGACCCCCAAAGCCTGGAGCCCCAGGAAGCTGGTACACTCAAATTGGCACCATTTTGGTGGGTGACATCATATGTGGCCCAGACCAGGGGTGGGGTGGGCCCAGACTGCAGGGTCCAGGGAGCAAGAAATGTGTGGCAGCTGTGGAGAGATGGCATGAGGCCCTGGTGAGCCAGAATGATCTCATGTTCTTCATGCCTAGTGAATTGGTGACTGTGGGACTCTGGGTAGAAGACCCTTAAGTGGAAGATGTAACCCATATGGGCAGAGTTCCTATTTCTTGGTTCACTTTCCCTTTTCCCAATGGAGGGTCTCCTTCTGGACCTGACTTGACATGCTCTGGCTTTAATTTTGATCCTGGAGACTCTTCTGTGGCTTGCAGTGTCCCCTGTGGATCCCTGAGCCAGAGAGGCCCCCATTTCAGAGTCCCCAGGGAAAATGCTCTGATTCATGAGAAGGGCCTCAACCTATCACCCCCAAATATGTGAAGACTGGGCTCTTTTATCATCTTGTCACTGACACCTGGGAAGTTTGAGCTGGCAACCTTCTTATAGGAGGAGGTAGGGGAAGTCGGGGGCAAAGAGAGACCAAAAACCCGGGCTGGAGGCATAAGGACACTCACTGGGTTCTGGAACAGGAAAAACGGGGGTGGGTGGCTGGGATGGACAGAGCGCATAAGTGATGATCTTCTCTACTTCAAAGCCTGGCCTCACCAGCCCTGCTCTAAGGGGCAGCTAAGGTAGGAGCCCCCCAGCCCCTCTTCCAACTCCTGAAAGCCATTGAGCATTTTAAAGAGGAAATGTGTGCCCCCCCACTCAATGCTCGGAGCTTTCATCGTGTGAATTGTTCCCCCAGGGAGCGGGGCAGTGTGAATCAGTTACACTTGGTCTTGGTGCCGATGCCCCAGCCCAGTGGCTTCCAGAAAGACCAGGCCAGGCCTCTTTGGGACGACATATGTCAGGGATGCTCTTGGTGCGGGGAGGAGGGGTGTTGCTTAAAATGTGGCCTCTCTGTGGCCCGGCACAATTCTTCCAGTCTTCTCCATGATGGTCCGTTGGTGGCTTCAGGCCTCAGGTTTGAATGTGGGCTGTATCTTAGCAAAATGCTAAAACAATGGAGATATTTGTGTGCAAGTTCAACCCCCGATATGGCTCTTGGGCCCTTCTCAAGAGAGAACGGGTGTTACCTTTGGTTTCTGGCCTTGTCATGGATAAAATTGGTGAATGGGTAATAAGCAGCTCAGGTGCCCCTGATATCAGGGGATCTCAAAACGCTGTCCTGTACCAGCAGCATCACCATCACCTGGGAACTTGTTAGAAATGCAAATTTGGGGGGCTCACCCCAGACCTACTGAGTCAGGATTTTGGGCAATGGGGCTAGGGCCTGGGAATCTGTGTTTAAACAACCCCTCCAGGTGATTGTGATGCCCTTTCAAGTTCAAGTTGGAGAGCCACTGTTTTACGAAGAATATTATTCTCATTTAACAGATAAAGAAAATGAAGATCAGGGCGGCTAAGTCACTCGACCGGGATCGTGCAGCCAGCAAGTTGGGTGCCAGGACTCAAAGCAGGTCTTTCATGAGAAGAACTCTTGTTTTTTTTCTTTTGTCTCTTCCACTCCCTCCCTCTCTGTCCTCACCCCTCCATCCTCTATCCCGGAGGTTCTCAACTTGGCCGTATATTGACATCACCTGGGGAGCTTTAAAAAATAATATTGCTGTTAGGCCTCCACCCTAGGAAACTGAATCTCCGGGGTGTGACTCCAGCATCTGTACTTTTTATTCCCTCTTCACAGGCAGCCTTACCCAGATTCCTTTGCGATTCCAAATGTTTCTGATGCATGCATTTGCACTAAGGTGTTAGTAACTGGATGTGTTACCTTTCTCAGGGTGTCTGCATTTGAAAAAAGAGCCGAGGACATAAAATAATGAATCACATAAGCATCTTAGCGAGTGGGAGAGACCAGCTTTTGATCTCCTTTCTCACACTTGCAGCAGATTTATTGCCCTCACATGTCCTGCTAGGAATCTACCCAGCAGTCTTGGCTGAGACTTCTGAATATACTGTGGCTTTTTGAGGGGCTTTTTGGGCTAGAAGAACTTGAATGAATCATTTTTGAATGCCCTTAAGCCATCAACCTTGCCCACAGAGGGCAGTCAGTTCAATTCTAACTAGCAAGCAAAACCAAAATTATTCGCCCAAAATGTTCTTGCTTTTGTTGTTGTTTGTTTTTTTTAACCATTCCGTGATGAATCTTCCCCTGTCGGACCTTTCCCAGCGCCCATCCAAACATACTCAGCCACAGAAATCGAGGTGGTGTGTATCTAAACCGTAAGTTAGAGTCATTTCCCAGATCCCAGTTCAATCAAATTTCAGGAGACCCTTCCCGTGGCTAATTTTAGGACATGACAAATTTTGATGTTGACGCCCCCTTTTAATTTTTTTAATTGTGTAAACGTTTTTTTATTGAAGTATACTTGACGTATAATATTACATTGTCGTAAACCTTTGATTTTTAAAAAGGAAGAAAAATAAAAGCCACCCTAAAATGATTTTTTTTTTTTTGACTGGCATCTACATCTCTACCCTGCTTCCTGCACCTGGTGGGGGACACAGCGCTTCTCCGCCCTTCAGGAAACGGCCCACTTGTCAGCAGCTGGGCTCCCAGGAACAAAGGCCTAGGTTCATTACCACAGTATCGACCCTGACACGTTGCACTCGGGCCACCTCCCCCAGAGTTCCTCAATTCACACCCCAAATGAAGCGTAATTGGACCTGGACATCTTTGAAGTCCCCCGAGCAGCTCGCCAGCATTTTGAAATGTCCTCGATTTGCATGGTGAAAACCTGGTTGGAGGTGACTTTTTCTTTCCCCTCATCCCACGGTTTTAAAGACAGAATGATTTAAAATGACATTCCCCAGCCAGGGAAGAGTTACCATGGAAGAAATAAAAATTCTCAAAGCCCAGAAAAGAAAAGGCCAAATAAGTCCGAGAATCTGATGAATCTCTCATTTGCTCCTTTGCTCGGTTTTTGTTCTGTGAGGGCCACGTATCAGGCCATGGTTTCCTCTCAAACTTCTCCCCACGTCCCCGACCTGGGGGGATGACAAGGATCCAGGAAACTTGGCTGGGAGGTTCTGCAGGCCAGCGGGTTGCTATCAGACCTGAAGCAAGAGCAGGAGCCCTGCCACAGGCCAGTGAGTTGATGAGGGAGACTGTGTGTTGAGCAGGGATCATCTGTCTTGTGTTCCAGCTGAGCCAGCACCGCTATGCAGGGATCGTGCACAGTCCCAGAAATCAGCATGCCCGTGTGCCCTGTGGGTCTAAAGCTTGGTGATTTCTTGCAGCCCACGGAGGGGCCTGCTTGGTGGAGTCGTGCCTGCGGCCTAGGCGGGCATTTGTTGAGCCCGGGAGGAGCTGCGCGGTCTGCTTTCCTCTGGGCAGTGGCCTGCCCCTCGTTTGCAGTCCCTCCCACACGCCCACTCCTGCTTCTGTAAGCTTCCTCAGGGGTAGCCATCCTCTGAAACAAATGATCCACTTTCGTCTAGAGCACCACTGTCCAATAGAACTTTCTGTGAGAAGGGAAATATTTTATATCTGTGCTGAGATGTGGCTAGTGCAACTGAGGAAATGAATTTTCAACCTTATGTAATTTTTTTCGGATGTCTTTAATGGAAGTACCGTTGATTTACAATGTTTCAGGTGTACAGCAAAGTGATTCACGTCATTTAATTTAAATAGCCACATGTGGCTAGTGGCGACTACATTTGGACAGATGACCAAATCCCAAGAGTGGATGCCCCAGTTTGGGGGGTGTATGGTATTGACTATCGACGCTCTAAAAAGACTTTTTTTTTTTGGCCGTGCCACATGGCTTGCGGGATCTTAGTTGCCCAACCAGGGATCGAACCCGCGCCCCCTGCAGTGGAAGTGCGGAGTCCTAACCATTGGATCACCAGGGAAGTCCCCAGAAAAACTTTTCAATCAAGCAAAGCTTAATTTATTAGACCTACTTCAGTAAGGAAGAGGACCCCTGTGACAGAATGCTAGTGATGTCTCCAAGCAGGGACCCTGGGGAAGGGTATTGACAGCATTTAGAGGCTGGACTGGGTGATTTTGAAGTTGGGTCTTTCTTTTTTTTTTTTTTTTTTGGCGGTACGCAGGCCTCTCACTGTTGTGGCCTCTCCCGCTGCGGAGCACAGGCTCCGGACGCGCAGGCTCAGCGGCCATGGCTCACGGGCCCAGCCGCTCCATGGCATGTGGGATCTTCCCGGACCGGGGCACGAACCCGTGTCCCCTGCATCGGCAGGCGGACTCTCAACCACTGCGCCACCAGGGAAGCCCTGAAGTTGGGTCTTTCAAGGCAAGAAACTGACTGGGGTTGGGGAGAGTTTCTGACAAAGTAGTTTTGGATTGGGAAACAGCAAGGCAGAGGTCTTGTAGTAAGTCTTGATGAGTTAGCTGTTGGTCTTGATAACAAGCTATTTTAGTTGGTTCAGTCTATCTTGCTATATTTCTTATAGCAAAGAGCTAAGTTAATTTTGTTTGTTCTCAGTACGATTTAAACATGGGGATCAGAAAGCATGCCTGGTCCCAGAATTGTTTAACGTAGGGACAGAGAATAACAAATCACCACCAAATGTAGTGACTTAAAACAATAAACGTTTATTATCTGACAGTTGCTGAAGGTCAGGAATTTGGGAGCAGCTGAATGGGGTGGTCCTGGCTTGGGGTCTCCCATGAGGTGGTAGCCAGGATGTTGGCTCGGGTCACCAATAACCATCTGAAAGATTTACCAGGGCTGGAGGACCCACTTACAAGGTGGCTCATTTGCATGGCTGGTGAAATGGGGTTGGCAGTTGGCAGGAAGGCTCAGTTCCTTGGCCTGTGGGCCCCTCCCATGTGGCTGCTGGAGAATCCTCATGGCATGGTAGCTAGCTTCCCCTAGAGCAAGTGATTCAAAGGAGAGCCAGACAGAACCCACAGTGTCTTTTATGACCTAACCTCAGAAATCTCACTTCATCATTTCCAAGATATCCTATTGGTTATACAGGGCAGCCTTGTTCAACATGGAAGGTGACCAGGCAAGGGAGTTAAGATTGGGGGTGAGAATCACAGGGAGAGGGAATTATGTGGTTTCAGTTCTCAGTGGTAAGTGGGGGTGGGCAGTGGTATAAGGTAGGTGCAGTTTCCCGGGTTTCAGAACTGAGACACAACTGCGGCAGGTCTGTATATGTTGGGGAGGAAGGGACCCACTGGCTGACCCAGCCTTCCACCCACCTTCTGGAACGTTGTTCCAGTTACCATCTCTATGTAACAAATAACTCCGAAATGTAGTGACTTCAAGCAACCATTTTATTATGCTTATTGGACTCTATGGGTCAGGAATTCAGACAGGGCACAATGGGGGACGGCTTGTCCGTGCTCCACAATGTCTGGGGCCTCAGCTGGGAAGACTCAAAGCCCAGTGATTATAGTTGGGGGCTGGAGCCATCTGCAGGTTCAATCATTGACATGTCTGGTGCCTGGGCTCGGTGGGACTCAAAGGCTTGGACAGTGGATGGAGCACCTACAGGTGGCCTCCCTATATAGCTTGGGCTTCCTCACAGCATGGTGGCCTCAGCATGATGGGACTTCTTATGTGGTGGCTCAGGGCTTCAGGTGTGATTGTTCTAGCAAATAAGGTGGAAGCTGCATGGGCTTTTATGACTCAGCCTTGGGAGTCACCCGGCATCGCGTCCACGTACAGTGGAAGTGTTTACTGAAGCAGTCACAAGCCCACCTGGATTCAAGGGAAGGGGGCGGAGACCCAGTTTCTCAACAGGGAATGGCAATGTCACACTGTAGAAGAGTATGTGGGATGGATGGTATTGTTACAGCCATTCTTAGAAAATACAGTCTGCTGTGAGCATCAGTTTCCCAAGGCTTTTGTCTATTTTTTTTTTTTTTTTTTTTTGCAGTACGCGGGCCTCTCACTGTTGTGGCCTCTCCCGCTGCGGAGCACAGGCTCCGGACGCGCAGGCTCAGCGGCCATGGCTCATGGGGCCAGCCGCTCCGCGGCATGTGGGATCTTCCCGCGTCCCCTGCATCGGCAGGCGGACTCTCAACCACTGCGCCACCAGGGAAGCCCAGGCTTTTGTCTTTGATGGGTGGGAGCAATGGGGACTGGGGGAATGTGGGCCCTGGGCATCCCACACAGGCATCTTTGTTAGATAGTCCTTGTTGCTTCCTGATCATAGGTCACTGATCCAAGTCCGAGCTGAGTGGGACACGTGAGGAGGAAGAGATGAGCCCAGGAGACGGGATTCTTCACACAGGCCCATAAGACAGTGTCCCAGACTGTGTGGCCTTGGATAAGTGGCTCATCTCTGAATTGGGAATAATAAGCCCTGCCTCGGGATCGTTGTGGGGAGCAGGTTAGGTAAGGTGTGCAGAGTATAGTAGGGTGCCTGGGTGCCTGGCACGTAGTGGGTATTCAACAGATGAGAGAGCCACTATAATGATATGTGCTATTAAACCACCTGAGTTCAGTCATCTGTGGCACATCTGTAGGTATGTATTGCGGGGTAACAACTCACCCCAAAACTTAGTAGCTTAAAACAACAGAAGTCATTTTTTCCACTCTCTTGGTTTCTCTGGTGCAGAAATCTGAAGCTTGGCTGGGCGGTTGTGGCCCAGCGCTCTCAAAAGGTTGCAGTCAGAGCGGCCGAGGCTGCAGTTGTCTGAGGGCTCAGCTGGGGTCACAGCATCCACTTCCAAGGTGGTTCACTCACCTTGGAAGTGGCTGGCAAGTTGGTGCTGGCTGCTGGCTGGGGGCCTCTGTTCTCTCCACACGGGCCCTCCACAGGGCTGCTTGAGCATCTTCATGCCATGGTGGCCGACATCCCCTAGAGCAGGTTTCTCCAGGAGGGCAGAATCTGGGTCTGCCTTGGTCTTTGCTGTATCTCCAGAGCTTGGCCTGGCTCAGCACATTCTGTGAGGGTTTGAAAGACTGAGAACTGCCTTAGCTATTCTGCCCTAGTCCCTTGACATTGTTCTGGAAGGTCTTTTCATGCCTCTGCCTAGGTCGACAGCGGGCTCAAGGTCTCAAAGAGGATCCCAAGGTTGCGGAAAGGAAGAATCAGGGAGAGACAGCCACTAAGGCTCAGGGCCCAGCTGCCCTTCCTTCCCGGAAACTCTCCTTCCAGAGCTTGACCTTGGGCTTCTGAGCGCGTTCTGAGGGAGTCCATGTTCATGAAAACCCAACTAACTGTCCTACCAGGCTGAGAGCTGTGCAAACCCTGAGAGAAGAAAGTGCATGGGAAGGAGCTCACATCCCACTGAGGGTAACCTAGGGGCCGGGGTTTCCAGCTGGGCCAAAAAGGACGGGTCAAAGTTGCTGTCCTGTTTAAGTAGCAGATGCAAAGGCCCTGAGGTGCGGGGGCAGGTTCTGGGGCCTCTGAGCAGGAGGCTGGGCCCGATGAGGCTGAAAGATGGTGGAAGCAGAGCAGTGGGGTAACAGAGGCAGCCACGAGGAAGAGGGGGCTGGGTTGGGGAGACTGAAGTGGGGAGCCTGCAAATTTCCGGGCAAAAGTGAAGAGGATCTGAGCCAAGGCGGCAGCTCTGGGAAAGGGATGTAAGGAAAGGGAAGAGGCAGGTTCCAGAGATATTTAGATGTAAACTTAACTGGATCGGGGCTTCCCTGGTGGCGCAGTGGTTGAGAGTCCGCCTGCCGATGCAGGGGACACGGGTTCGTGCCCTGGTCCGGGAAGATCCCACATGCCATGGAGCGGCTGGGCCCGTGAGCCATGGCCGCTGAGCCTGCGCGTCCGGAGCCTGTGCTCCGCAGCGGGAGAGGCCACAACAGTGAGAGGCCCGCGTATCGCAAAAAAAACCCAACAAACAACTTGACCGGATCAGATAGCCAGATTGGGTTAGAGAGCAGGAGGCAGGGATGGTGGATGAGTGGTTTTCCCTCTGAACATTCTTTCTCTCTGATGTTCAGAGGCAGCCGTGCTGTAAGGAGGCTTCAGGTGTTTGCTCAGTGTCCTGGGGCCAGAAAGAGAACCCAGCAAGCCTGGGGCCCGGCAACCTGCCCTGCGACCAGCTGGATGTGTAGGCTACCAAGCCCTTGCACATATATCACTGCCTCATTTAATGTTCCAGGGGGGAGTTGTTATTCCCATTCTACGGATGAAGCAACTGAGGCTTCCAGGCTCAGAGAGGTGTGATATGTTTTCTAAGGTCAAAGAGGTGGCAGAGCCAGGCCTGGAACCCAGCTGAGTCTTCTCTCCAACATACTTCCCTGCTTTCTCATCTCACAGGTCCCTTAATGGCCATTTGTATTGGATGAAGTTCATAAGGATTTGCAGAGGTCCTCCAGGGCCTCTGTGAGGTGGGTAGGTGTGGCAGACTTTGGGCGGGAGGGGGTGGTCTTGACAGGTGTGTTAGAAGTGTGGGCGTATGGTGGGGTGGGACTAGGGGGTGAGGGACAGAGAGATCAGAGCCATCACTCAGAAAGCGGTCCCCGAAGGCAGGCTGACGCGGCTGGGGCCACATTCAGGAAACCCATCAGGATGACAGTGACCTTGGGCAAAGACCCATGGAGGCAGGTGTCAAGTTCACAGAGATCTTGATAACAGGGCTCTTTGCTATCTCCCTCTTCTCGTGCCAGATGTTCAGGAACTTGACCCCCTTTTCTGGCTTTGTCTTATTTACTGTCCCCCGTTCCCCAGCACCTTGCCATGACCCTCTTTGCTGGTTCCCTTTTCCTGGAATGGGTGGCCAGGGTAGTACTACCACCCAGAAGGGAGCTCCCAATTCCATCCCCTTGATTCCCTCCCCAGCTCCCTTGCAGCCAGCACACCTAAATGCTTTCTGCGACAGGCTCTCTAAATGATTGGAGCTTTCTCCCAGATCAGCACTTTTTCATGCTACATTAGCATTTATTGGTTTGATATTTACATTTGCCAAAGGAGTGCCCAGTCCCTGGGTCCCTGGGAGCACACACCGTCAACCCAATAGACTCTAATTGCCTCACAACCTCCCTCCCCCCCCCCCCCCCCCCCCCCCCCCGCAGTCCCATTAAAAAAAACTCAGAAGGATTATCTTTGCAGACCAAAAGGTCTGCTGATAAACAGGGGCCCTACCCAGAGGAGAGAGGGGCTCCGCAAACAAAAGGGCTGGCAGGGACAATCTGAATTTGTATTGCAGTAGTGTATCTACGTGATAGCTTCTCCACTGGATTCTAACCTCCTTGAAGGCAGAGATCTGTTTTCGTTCTTTGAATTTCTCCATATTCCTCTCCAGGGTGAAGAAACAAGCTCTGCCAACCACGGGTTCTCAAGGAACATTTGTCTGCCGTGGAATTAATCAGAAGTCGTGCCCTCCCTCCCTCTGACAGCTGCAGGGGGAGAGGGTGGAGGAATTATCCAGGGAATGCGAGGGCAATGGGGGCCACGTGATAAGAAGGAGCGTTCTCCCTTGTCCCTTTCCAACGCCCCCGCAGATGTGGCCGAGGAGCCCGGCCCTGCAAGGCCATGGTGGAGGAAGGAGGCTGTGTAGTAATGTGGTTAGAGCTCGGCAAACCCGGCTCCAAAAGCCAGCGCTGTTATGTAACAGGTGTGCGCCTCAGTTTCCTCTGTAGTAAAATGGGAATGACTTCCGGGCTGGTTGTGGGGATTAAGGGAGGTCAGGCGAATAACGGCCCAGGCACACCATGGGTTTAGGAGATGGCGGTTCCTGGGATTTATGCAGACCTGTGGGAGTGGAGCCCTAAGCGTAAATCGTTAACTCCTCAAAGGTATGTTTGCTGTGCCCTGGGATTTTCAAAGGGCAGGCTCTCCCAACAGCTCCAGAACCTTGCTACTCAAAAGGCCCGCGGACGGGCAGCAGCCTCACCTGAGAGGCTGTAAGGACGCCCTCAGATGCTCCCCAGGCCTGTCGAATCAGAATTTCTATATTAAGATTCCCTCAGGTGAGTCATATGCACATTAAACTTTGAGAAGCACTTTAGAAACTCCCTGTGAAATCTGCAATGTAGAAATGACTATTCCCATTTTGAGAATGAGATCACTTCCGCAGAGTCAGAGAATTGATGCCTTCTTTTGCCCAAGCTTATGAGCTCTCTAAAAGAGGCCTTGTGACTCCTGGGGGTTGGGGGGGGGGTCCTGGATCCCTTTCCCTACCCATGGCTGTTCCCTGAAGGACCAGCATACTCCAGGGCAGGGTGGAGATGAGCGAGGCCGGGGGCCAGGGTCTTATCTGCGGCCCCATCGCCGCGAAGGGGGCCAGGTTGGCTGCCGGCTGTCGAAGTGCTGTGTGGAGTCCACCCTGAGGAGTATGGGGTCTTGAACCTGGGGCCTGAGGTGGGATGACAAAGAGGCCAGAAAAAAAATGCCGTGTTAAAGCGGAATTCCTGTGTTAAAGTGGAATTTCACGCAGGTGGAAACACTTGACTCTCGTGCAACTATAAAACGACCGCATGTCAAAGATTTGATTTAGCTCATTCATTAATGAGGGGACCCTCTAAGAGGTTAAAACCGATTACAATGAGAATGTGAGGGGCTAGGTATTTATAGGCAGTTTAATAGAAGAATTTGGGGGTGAGATAGCTAGGTTAGAAATTATTTGCATCTCTACCAGACAAAAATCTGAAAGTGAACCAACCCCTGCAGCTATGGGGTTGTAAAATAGCCCGGTCGATAGGAAATCAATCAAAGGTGTCAGCCCCTGCACGGTGCAGCAAGAACACCCAATAATCTCTTTCGCCTATTTCCAATTTTGGATAATTTCTTCTGACACTAACCCTCGGTTAGTCCTTGAGAATCCGGAAATTGCTCTTGCCTGAGAATTACCCTCAGAATGGAATGTAGGTCTTGGCAGGAAAGGAGGAATGAAAGATGAGCAAGTGCATCTTCTCGAAGACGGGGAGTGTGCTCTCCCGGCCACCTTCCGTGTCTCCTGCGATGTACCATGCAACTGCTCTCAGAGGGCGAGAGCTGGCGTCTTGCAGGAGAAAACCGACTGTTCACAGAAGGGGCGCAGCGCGGCCCGCTCCTGACTCCCATTCTCTTTAACCTTGGCCTGCTGCACAGGGGCGGATGGTGTATCTGCAAACATATGCAGCCTTGTCCAAAATATTTTCCCCTCCTGTATAGTTCTTGCCAATATTGTTAATCTGTGGGTTGACTTCAGACCAAAATAAATCTCCCAGCCCTGGCCACCAGCTAGCTAATTTTACTTTGTAACCAGGGAATAGAAAGTACGGGCCCTTGGCCGACCATTCTGTGTTTATTTGGCTTTCTCTCTGCTGCAGTTTCAAAATCACATTTGGAAAAGTGGACCCTCTGTGCATAAGAACAGCCACTGAGAGAAACAACAACAAAGATGAACGGGTTGAAAAAGGCAAGTTCTTCCATTGCCCTCCACGTTTGTCTCTCATCTCAGGATTCTGATCGTCCCCACTGGCCTTTTCCGTGATGGCTAGAGTTGTAAAATGGGCCCCAGAGCAGAAGGATACATGGCCATTCGGGGAGGATTTTTTCCTGGAACTCTCCTGGGTTCTCCTGGACCAGTCCTAGAGGAAGCAAGTGGGTAGAAGCTTACCAAGTCAGCCCTGGAAGGGACCTTGGAGGGCAGCTAGTCCAGCCAAGCCAGCTGAAAGGCAGGGTTACCTAGTGGTTGAGCGCACACATTTGAAGCCAGACAGCCCCAGCTTGAACCAGTTCTCCACCACTTCCTAGCTGTGTGACCTTGGACAAGTTTACTAACCTCCGCCTCAGTTTCCTCACCTGTCACATGGGGATAGTAATCATCATACCTACCTCAGACAGTTGTAGCGGTGACAAAATGAATTCACACATAAAGCGTCAGGAATAGCGCAAAGCGTACAGTAAGCGTTTGATAAGAGAAGGAAATGAGGCTCCGAGGAGAAGCAGCCTCCCCGAGGTCACTCAGGGATTTGCCAAACTGAGCTGGACTCGGTGAAAAGGAGGAGAGGTTACAGCCTCTTGGAAATTCTGACTAATAACTGTTTCTCTGCCTGTGTTACATCACCCTCGCTCAACACTTGGAGAGAGACCTCATGTGGAAGTCAGGGTGCCGCATTCCAGTCCGGGCGTGCCGCTCACCGACAGTGGCCCTCCTAGCTAATGAGCTTGGGGGCTGGATGGTCTCTGGGGTTCCTATTGGCACTAACATCTTATAATTTGAAATTAGGGTCTGTACCCTCCATTCAAATCAAGTCTGTCTTTTCCTGCAACACGCTTTACACTTTTTTTTTTTTTCTCCCCATTTCCCTCTGACGTTTTGCCCAACTGTATCCTGTGCGCATCAACACCCGGTTTCCTTTTGGCCCTCCCACTCTGTCCCTCCCCACGTTGGCCCCTCTCCCCTTCCCCCCCTGCTAGGGCAATCATGGGCTCCCACTGGCCCACACCTGAGCCCTCAGTTGCCAGGTTTAAGCTGATTAGACACTGTCTTGGAGGTGTCTTGAAAGTTACCATGTAGGCACCTTGAAACTAGAGACTGGATTTCTTCCTTGTCATGGCCCACTTTAAGAGTCTAATAGAGTGCCCTAGGCAGAGTGGCTTATCCATTATGGATTGCTGACTGGCTCTAAAACGAGTCGGGATGTTGGATGAAATCTTGGATTATCGAGGCTCCCTCTGGAACATTCAGTACAGCTGTCATAGATGTCCTTTGTTCGGGAGAAAACCGGTGTTATCAAACTTGAAAGCTTGATGAAAAGAGTATTTTAGAACAATTAATATTTCAAACTCGAAAATTGCAGACTGCAGCACAGGAACGTTAGATACTTCCTTTGCTGCCTTTCTTTCTCCCCAACCGTATCCCACATCCCCATCCCCTTTTCCCTAAAATACAAGCCTGGGTCAGATGTTAGGTTGCCACCTGTTGGTGTAACGAGGCACTGCAGCCCAGCTCTACGAAATACTCTAAATGCCTGTAGGGAAGTGTACAGAGACTGAAATGCTGGGAGATGTGATTGTAGAGTCAGGTGTGGCCCAGAGAAATATCTTCTGGATGAGGTTGATCCTGAGGGAAGGGTGAGGGCTAACAGCAGAGGGGAATCCTGGAGTAAGAGAGACACTACTAAGCCCTCTAAGTGCTGTAGAGGAAAAGCAAACAGTTATTTGGAGGCACTAACTTCTGTAATACCTAATACTACTAGTGTGTAAATAATAAGACCTCCATCCCACTGGGCTGACCATCAGTGTAATCCTGCCTTTCTCAAACCTTTGCCCTTAGTCAAAGTTGTTGGAGCCCAGCTTAAAACTACATTGAAGAGCAAAGAAAAATGAGGTTTCACTACATATTTGGGGTGGGCTGCATTTTTGAAAGATGGCTGCCACAACATCCCACATGTTTTTCTGCAGTGAGACCTGTCACTCTCCCATCAAGTAGAGAGGTCTGTGTCTCTACCCCTTTGAACCCAGGTGGGTCCTATGCCTGCTTTGACTGAGAGAATGAGGTGGAAGTGATGCTGTGTGGTTTTTTCAGGACAGGATCACAGAAAGACTTGAAGCTTCCTGAGCCTACTAGAATGCTCACTTTTGGGACAGTCCCTCTTGGAAGGTAGCCACCATGCTGTGAGAAGCCCAAACTACAATGGACAGGCCACACTTAAAGGCATTCCGGTTGAAGCCCCAGTTAAGTTCCCAGCCAGCAGCCAATATTAACTGTCAGCCCCGTGTGTGTGCCATTTTGGATGTCCAGCTGGGTTAAGCCTTCAAGACTCCAGCCCCAGCCAACACCTGACTACAGCTGCACAAGACACCCAGAGTAAAAACCCCCCAGCTGAGCAAGCCCCCCAGCTGAGCCCAGTCAACTCACAGAACTGTGAGAGAGAGTAACGAGTTGTTGTACTAAAGCCACTAGGTTTGGGTGCATGATGTGGCAATAGATATCAAGGACAAGAGCAACTTTGGTTAGACACATAAACCATAGGGTGACACATAATTAGGTACAGCTTTCAAATCTTGGATTCAGCTTTAGGGCAATGAGTCCCTAACATCGTAGAGCAGTACTATTTCAGTTCACATCTGCTGCCTCTGATCAAAACACTATCTTGCACTTCCTGAGAGAGAGAGCACTTCCTGCCAGGTGTCCCCTTGTGTCCTCCTCTGTGTGACTGTGGGGTTCAGTGTCTCTCACACATTCGAGCATGGCGCTTGGTGCCTTATTTGGAGGCCACGAGATAGAAGCCATGCTCTTGCCTCCAGAAGGTTTTGTGGGTGGGATTGTGCCATAGACAGCAAGAATCCACCCACACATTTTCTTTGAATCAACTTTAGTGATGGATATTTACATATGATAAATGAGACCCATTTGAAGTGTTCAGATTGATGAGATTTGACAAACGTAACCCATGTGACCACCACCCATGTAACCACCACCATAATCAAAGTCTAGGACATTTTCATCACCCTAGATTTTCCTTGTGCCCCCTTTGCGGTCAATCCCCTCCTCCCACCCCCAGCCCCAGGCAAGCACTGATTTCCTTTGCCATTAGAGATCAGTTTTTGTCTTTTCTGGTGTTCCCTATAAGTAGAATCATATAGGATGCACTCATGTGACTGCATAGTATTTTGTTCAGCATATTTTTGAGGTTCATCCATGTTGTGTGTACCTATAGTTAATTCCCTTTTATTGCTGCGTAGTCTATCATTGTATGGATATATCACAACCTGTCTATGCTTCTGTTGATGGACATTTGGGTCAGTTATACTTGGGGCTATTATGAATAAAGGTGCTATGAATGCTCATCTACAAGGATTTGTGGGCATATGTTTTCCTTTCTTCTGGGTAAATATCTGAGTGCTAATAAAGGGTTATATGATAAGTGTATATTTCACTTTATAGGAAACTGACAAATTGTTTCACGTGCCGCCAGCAAAGTATGAGAGTTCTGGTTGCTCCCTATTCTTATCAGCACTCAACATTGTCAGTCTTTTTACTCGTAGCATCCCTGGTGAGTGTAATGGTACCTCATTTGCCCACAGGTTTTTGTGTCCTCCGTTAGGATGTGACCAGGGACTTTTTTTTTCACTGCTGCATCTCCTAGCACCTGGAAAGGTGCCAACACCTGGAACAGCCCTCAGTACCTGGAACAGCATGCAATAAATATTTTTGGAATGAACTAGTTCATGTCTCCTCGAGTTTTCGTGTTTCCTTAAGATTTATTTCTGTAGGGGATATTGAGCAAGGAGGAGTTACACACTTACAGTTGTGAAAGATATTGCCAAGTTGCTTCACCCCAAAATGCTGAACCAATTTACCCTCCCACCAACATGAGCTATTGTCAATTGTTTCAAATTTTCTGCCAGTGGAACAGGTTAAAAATGGTATTTCATTTTGGTTTTTATTTTGCATTACTCCTTTTTAAAAGTTTTATTTATTTAATTTTATTTTTGGCTGCGTCGGGTCTTAGTTGCGGCATGTGGGATCTTTTGTTGCGGTGCACAGGCTTCGCTCTAGTTGCGGTGCACAGGCTCCAGAGCGTGTGGGCTCTGTAGTTGTGGCACGTAGGCTCCAGAGCACACGTGGGCTCTGTAGTTTGTGGCATGCGGGCTTAGTTGCCCCGTGGCATGTGGGATCTTGGTTCCCTGACCAGGGCTTGGACCTGCGTCCCCTGCATTGGAAGGCGGATTCTTAACCACTGGACCACCATGGAAGTCCCTAATTTTGCATTACTCTTATCGTTAGGTGAAATTGAGCATCTTTTCTTATGTTCTGGGGTCTTGTATACTTCATCTGTGATTTGTGTTCCTATATTTTGCCTATTTTTTAAAAAATTAATTAATTTTTTAAATTTATTTTTGGCTGCCTTGGGTCTTTGTTGCTGCGCGCAGGCTTTCTCTATTTGCAGCGAGCGGGGGCTACTCTTCGTTGAGGTGCATGGGCTTCTCATTGCAGTGGCTTCTCTTGTTGTGGAGCACAGGCTCTAGGCATGTGGGCTTCTGTAGTTGTGGCACGCAGGCTCGGTAGTTGTGGCTCATGGGCTCTAGAGCGCAGGCTCAGTAGTTGTGGCGTACGGGCTTAGTTGCTCCACGTCATGTGGGATCTTCCCGGACCAGGGCTCGAACCTGTGTCCCCTGCATTGGCAGGCAGATTCTTAACCACTGCGCCACCAGGCAAGTCCCATTTTGCTTATATTTTATTGGACTATTTTTTTTTCTAATTTGTAGAAACTCTTTGCTTATCAGAGATGGTAACATTTTGCCTGTTACGTATGTTGCAAACATCTTGTGGAGTGACAAGCAGAATGGTCCAATGATGACTCCTGGAACCCTTCTCTTGTTGCCTGCTCAGGCTGAGGACTCCCACCTTCCCCCTAGTGGGAGTGGCTGTGACTGAACCCAACTTTGCATTGGGCTGAGGGCTCCCCTTCCTCCAGCACACATACCTCCAAGTCTTGACTGTTCCCTGTATGTAAAGCCTCTCCAATCTTACACAGTTGAAAGGCAGCATCCAGAGTGGGGAGGGGCAGGGTCCCTTCCTGGATCATAGCCCACTGTGCATCCTACATTTACTTGAAAACTTTCCCAATAAAATCTGCTCTTCATACCCCTTCCGTGTGGCATTGTGGTGTTTGCTTTCACCTTCTCCTCCACATATTTTCTCCCAGTCTGTCATTTATCTTAGACATTGTTCATGATGTCTTTTTTCATACACAAGGTTTTACTTCTACACTGTCAAATCTGTCTGTCTTTTCCATGACTTCTAGACTTCATGGCTTGCCTGGGAAGCTTTTTCTTTACCCCAATCATGTAAAAAATTAGTTTGTGTTTTCTTCTAGTGTTTTCATAGGTTTTTAAGGTTTTGGTCCTATCTACCCGGAACACACTTTTGGATGTGGGGATGCCCACCTCCCAGGGGTCAACAGCAGAGTTTCTATCCGCAGAGCTGCTCTCAGAGTATAATGTTCCTGTACTGTACTAGTTATCTATTGCTGCACATCGAATTACACCAAAACTTAGTGGCTTAAAACAACAACAAACCTTTATTACCTCACTGTTTCTCTGGGTCAGGAATTTAGGAGCAGCTTAGCTCCATGGTTCTGGCTCATGGTTTCTCATGAGGTTGTAGTTAAGATGTCGGCTGGGGCTGCAGTCATCCGAAGGCTTAGACTGGGGCTGAAGGATCCACTTCCAAGATGGCTCACTTATATGGATATTGGCAATAGGCCTCAGTTCCTCACTGGCTGTTGGCAGAAGGCCTCAGTTCCTCACCATATGGACGTCTCCGTAGGGCTCTCCATAGAGTGTCCTTTATAACGTGGCAGCTGGCTTACCCCAGATAGGTTGATCCAAGAGAGAGCAGGGCACAAGCCACAATGTCTTTGATAATCTAGCCTCAGAAGTCACACTGTGTCATTCCCACAATATCCTATTGATCAGGGGAGGAATACACAAGGACCTGAATAACGGGAGGTGTGGCTCAGTGGAGGCCATCTCAGAGGTGAGCTACCGCACGTACGCATTATCCGGCCAACATTTTTGGCTTTGTGGTTCCCGGCCCTGTGAATGAGGGTCCTGTTGGTCCAAAGTACACTCAAGAAAGTGAAGAGCTATCAAAGTCAGACAACTACTCTAAATGTCTGAAAAGGAAATTGGAAATTCTGGCTATGAATGTAGGGGTCCCAAAGACTCGTTTCATTTTGCTGTTTTAGAATCCAGGAGAAAGACAAACTTTTCAGAGTGAATCAAATTGAGTGACGATGGGGCTGAGACTCGATTCTGGGGTTTCTGACATGCACTCCGTGACCTCGTCTGCTTTTCTGCAAGCACTTGCCGGCCCCTGCTAGTTATATCGGTCAAAGTCCAATCAAGGATACAGGAACTACTCTAGGTGTTTGGAGCGGATGGAACTTAATGCATAAAATTGTTTACACATGTGATGGAAAACGCCGAGCTAGGCAAGTGCAGGAAGCGTCTGTTGCCCCTGAAGCTGGAGGGAGGGAGGGAAGAGCTGGGTCAGTGGAGTCCGGAAGTGGGCTCACCAGGCAGGAGCCAGAGCTGCGATGCTTCTGTCCCCCGGGATCTGCAGCCACAGAGGTGCTCCAGCTACTGAGGCAGAGAGCAAGGAGGAGAAATTCCCTGGCTTCTCCCTTCCTCCCGTCCTCCAGTCTCCTTCCAGGGCTTTCCACGGATACCAGTGAACATTCAGGCAAAACTAAGCAGAGGAAGCGGGGCGGGAGTGGGGAATGGGGAATCTGAGGGCACGAGGCTTGGTACCGGCACATTGGTGTCAGGCTCGTGGCAGATTTTACTTCCCAAAAATGGCCACAACAATATTTCTGGTCCTACTTGTTTTTCTAGAACCCTCCCATCCACAGGTGGAGTCTGAGTCCCCCTCCTCCATCCTGGGTGGGACTTTGTAATTACCTGCATGAAGAGAATGAGTCAGACGTGATGTTAATTGTCTTCTGAGGCTGGGTCATAAAAGGCGATACAGCTTCCACCTGGGATGCTCTCCCTTCGAACCCAGCTGCCGAGCTGTGAGCAAATCCAAACCAGCCCGTGCGAGAGGCTGCATGGTGGGGCTCATGGGGAGAGGAACCGAGGCCCTCAGCCGATGACCAACATTATCCCCCAGCCCCCAGCCTCTGAGTCCTCCCGAGGAGGGTCCGGACGACACAGAGCAGAGACAAGCTGTCCCCGCTGTCTGAATTCCTGACCTGCAGAATCTGTAAGCATAATTATTTTATTTTTTTAGGTTACTAAGTCTTGGGAAAATTCGTTCCACCGTTTATGATAACTGGGACAGCTGGGTCGAGGGGCAGGAGGTGTTCGGGTGCATATTTGGGGCTCAGGGCAGTATCAGCCTCCTCTCAGATCTTCTGTTTTGGGGGCAGAAACCCAACCAATAACTGGCATTGGTTTGAGAGTACACGGCAGCTGGTCTCAGTCTCCTGCAAATTCTTAAAACTTTGTTTTTGGAACCATTCCCTTGAAGAATTCATAAATTCATTTTACACATATTTATTGAGTGCCTAAGCCGTTAGGCACCGTTCCTAACTTCAGCCAGAAAACAAATTACCTTATAAGTAAATACGTAATTACAAATTGAGATAAATGCTCTGGAGGAAAAACGCCAGATGCGGATGCTAAGAGAGTATAACCGAGGGTCTAGATTTTGTTTGGGGTGTTGACGAAGCCTCTTTCAGGAAGTGAGATTTCTCTCCCCCTCTCTCTCTCCCACCCCTCGCCTTCTCCCCTTTTCTTTCCAGAACTTACTTCTTCCAAGCCGTGGAAGGTTTTATAATACACTTTTGAAAGTTAGCAAAACGAGATTTCCTACTGAAAAAGATAGCCGGACCCACATATACTAAAAAGCATTTACTCATAAGAAACCAGAAATCATTGGGGGTTTTTTCTGGGTGACCCATGAAAACTAGGGACCCCGCCATCCCTCACCCCAGAGAGTGCCTGGACGGTGCCTACGCATCAAATTTGTTATTGAGTTTTAGGAGCGCGGTTGACCGGTATGTGTGGCTGGCCTCAGCTTTAATGATTTCTCCAGAAGCTCAAGCGTAGTAGTGAGACGGCTCCAGGGAAAGAAAAGAAGGGAGGTTGCGGGGAGGCTGGGGAATTGCACCTGGAAAGCCCAGAGAGCAGGGACTGGGTTGCAGGCTGGGGGTGAGAATGAGGGGCGGGTCAGGTCCGCATCATAGCCACCGGGCTGTGCTCTGTGTCTGTCACTGCATAGGAAGATGGGCCGGAATTGCTATTTCTAGCAGCCTCCACAGGGAAAGGGGCAGCTCTGAGACCATTCCCAAGGCTGTTGATTTCCCTATGAGTGGAGAATGCGGGTTCCTCTGGAGACGGGGTTGGGGTCTTTCCATCTGCTGCCTTTTCACAGGGCTGTCCTGGCTGTGGTGGCATCTGTCTGGTCCATCAGCATTAAGCTCACACACAGCCTCTTCCACCTGTAGTTGTCCATGGGCTTGAGAGTAGACGTTGGTGGGTCACTCCATCTTCTCCACCGCTAGCTGTACCTGCGCCTCGGCTGCCGCCTGCATTCGCACAGCCTGGTTCATCAGCCCCAGAAGGTGCTCACTCAGTGTCCCTTGCAGGGACCAGGGTGCTCATTAAATAACACGCAGCCAGACCTCAGAGCCGCAGCCCTGCTTCACGA